TTAATTTTTTTACATGCTCTCCATTTCTCTTCCTTCCTTGTCTTATCATATTTTATTTGTTACAAAAAATAGTTATTGAAAATATGTGACAAGAAATTCATGCATATAACAACGATAATATAGTCTCTACTATTAAAATTGTCTAATTTACTACTAGAAAATAATTTAATCACAAAAAACAAAAACAAAAACACAATAAAAAGAAATAATATAAAATTAGTTGTTACAAGAAGCTGGTACATCTTCTCCATTACTCCTCATAGCCTCACATGCTAACTGAACAAGTCTAGACTTACAAGGAAAGCAGCCAGAACTGCAAGTATCTAAAAGATACACAAGTTATATGGAACAGTTGATACATGTACTATAGTCATACCTGGTGGTATATCATATAGGGGAAATACATATGTCCCTGGTATGTTGCTATTAAGCATCATGCTAGGTGCATCCATAACAGTAGTACCAAATGGAAAGAAAGAAGGATCAGCTTGTTCATAAACGTCATTAATTAAGAAACCTATTCCAGTCTCATCAGCTGATGTAATGCTCACATTGACATAAAGTGCAATACCAAATGTAATCCTTCCATTAGTGACAATTATTAATTGGAAGTTACTGCCCTATAATAATAAATGAAGTGATTAGAGTGTAGCTAGCTATTATCAACAGTATTTCATGCATCAAGTAATTAATATACTAACTTGGTTTGAGTCAAACTTTAAAAAATCTATCCATGTTGCTATTATTAATTGTGTTGGAGGAGATGTACTGCAAAAAGTATTAGGAAATGCTTCATTAATCTGATCCATCGCTCTCTTTAGCAACACTGGATCAGTAGTAGTCCTACCATATACTTTAGTATTGTCATGTATGCCAGAAGTTGAGTAGAGTACATTCAAATAGATGTCATTAGCGGTACCATCACTTCGAATTCCAAATATCCCTTCTTCAGAAACCTAATGATAGTATAAGTAAATGTTATAAACTGAGAAATGATCAATAAATTGTGTTACTAATAAAATGAACAGATAATGGTTAGTGTACAATTGCACTACATTACAAACTAAAGCACAAATAATGTATGTGTGTGCATTTGTAGCTACTAACTCTATATCTTGTTCCTGTAACTCCAGCTGGACCAATTCTAACTAAATTATCAATTGGAGCCAGTAATGGTGCTACAGGGAGAGTAGATCCATTCCTCATGGTGTCCCCATGTTCTGTACCATATGGGTACAGGTCACTAAGGGAAAGACCATTTGTATAACATGTACTCAGTATAACCTGTAAAGATAGTACCATACACTATCATATATATTGTATCTTACTAATATGCTTCTTATTAGTAGTAGTGATTCCATTATAAACCAATAGTTCTTCTCTATTGCAATAAATTCAGCTCCGACTGTCTACCACTTTTAAATCATCATAGAAGCCACACAGTATGTAATATACAGAAACCAGTGAAGGGCCTTTGATGTGTAGACTCCCCATAGCTTCAGTTACAATACTGTATGTATGTTCACTAATTGCAGCCCCCACAGTGTTACCACTCCCATCATTCCTAAGTAAGGTTTACTAGTATCTCTATATAATACAATATACTGACATTAGTAATATCAACTGTGTTCAGGCACATATGTGTGTTAGCACATACTGTATTACCATTATACTGCTTGTAAGATGGTGAGAGATAATGGCATGATTTCTTAATGCCGCTAATTTTAGGAAAGGCAATGCTTGCATTCTTCACCATTCCTTCATCATGCACACCTAAAGTATATTCATGTACACTTACCACCAGCAGTATATAATAATACAGCTTATTTGTTTAAATATTTTACCTGACTCCATGGTAGTGACAATTAAGAAATCATACCATTATTGGGGCGAGCATGAGCGAGACCCACACTAATCTGTCTAGGTCTATTTGCGTTACGTCTTGTTTGTGAACGGAAAAATACGAAAATTAAATTAGTATACTACTATTGATAAATTTGGACCACGTGGGCAAAATTAATTTAGAGGGTGTGGTCAAAAGAACAAGATGGCGGAAATTTTAACGTGACAAACTCAGATTGAGTTTCTAACAGCTAGATAAGAGAGAGGGGCTGTCTAAAACATCTGAAAGGCTGAAAAACTTAAAGCAGCTTGATCTAAGACTCCTTTACATTAGTCCTTTCATTGAAAGAATTAAAATTGGGAGAACAGCTTGATTAGAAGTTTAGCTTGGCACTGGCATTTCTCAGAGTGGCAGGACAGTTCATTCTTGTCTCTTTTACTGGGTCATTTTGGTCAGTTGTGTTAAATGGTGTGTTTGCTCTGTTCAGACCCTGCTGGGCCATGAGGATGGGGTCTGAAATTCTGAATTATGCATGCAGGCTAAGAGCTGGATTGACCTTAGACTATTTAGTTCAATCTTATTTCAAACGGTAATTGATGGAAGCTAGATTAGAAGTTTAACTTGGTACATTTTCTCAGTGTGACAGGACTCGTTCTTGTCACTTTGATTGGGTTATTTTGGTTGTGTTGACTGGTGTGTCATGGCCGGGGTCTGAATATGCATGCAGGCTGAGAGCTGGATTGATTTTATTTAGTTCAATCATAATTATTATTTCAGTTGTTAATTGATGGCTCATGCTCGCCCCCACAATGTTTACATTCACCTAGTCTATCATCATGTTACAAGCAGTATAATATATGGTAATACAATATGCACTAATACACATATGTACCTGAAAACAGTTGATATTACTAATCTCAGTACATCAGTAAATCTCAGTACATCAGTAAACCTCAGTATTGTAACTGGAGAGATTCTTAAATTTTAAATAAATTTTAAATATTTTTTGTAAAATTTAGAGTAATTTTCATAAATTTTTACAGTCTTCAGGCATACACAGTTTACACGTGAAGTGAGCTACTTTGATCATGTGTAGTGAGGATATTATCGAAGATATTATTCAGTAAAGGACGAGGTAAAGGATTAGGACAGGATGCCTAGTCTGAGGATTTACTACAAGCCTGTACTTGGCCTGAGATGCTTACAATCGAGACCTTTCTCCTCCTCTTCTTCAGTAAAGGAAGATAACAGGCAGTTGCTAAAGGCTGGGGCGCGATACCTCTCTGAGGAGAACATTGAAAGGACTAGGAAGAATGTGGAGCTTCGTAAACTTGACATTGATTTTGATCACTTGGTATGATGTGATGATTTAAAGTGGGTCGTTCTTATTTTTTTGTGTGGGCATCTAATGACACTATGTATTGGATTATTAATTTAAGCAAAGGAGCACTAAATTACAATCAAGTGTTCTTGTGTGATTCTTAAGGTAATTCCAATCGAAATTGGATTTTTGCTGAAATGGAGTTTATAATAGTCGATATTTAATTTATTCCATTTAATTAATGTACACAATTAATTAATAGCAATGATAATACCATGATTATTTTAATTTTAATATAATTGACTCTATCATTATTATTTAAGGCTAGAAAGTTGTGCTATTGATTTTCATTGTCTACTACGTTGATCTAATGTTCTCCCATTGAAAGGTAGGCGAGTACCACAAGTACCTTCAACTGCAGGAAAGGATCAGTGACTTGGAGCATGAAAAGAAAAGAGCGAGTGAAATTATATCATCTACAACAGTTAGTCTTCTCAATGTACATGTACTATCACGTAGTACATTGCTATATTATTATGTGTATTGTTCATAATAATGCAAATAATTTAGAATCTGTTACAAACTCCTGTATGTATACCGTATAGCAGAAAATTTTTGAGGAAGTTAAATTTGGCAAATTGCTAAATTTTGGTGATTGTGAATTTTAATTTGACGAATTTGTGGCCACATGCCATTGAGCATGCGTATAATAGCTGAAAATGGCTGATTTTAATTTGTTGAATAGCTATCATTATCCTTCCAAAATTTTTGGCTATACAGTATTCTTTCAATAGTGTGTCTTAATATTATAGATTGATAATGAGAAAGAGGATAAGATGAACCAAGTGAGACAACTCAAAAGCAAACTTAGCGACTTAAAAGTAATAATTGTTTTATGTTCTCTTTATTTTATGTTCATTTTCTATTACTTTCTTTGTCTCCAATAGGCTGAAATGCATCCAGTTGAGAAGTCATTTATTCACAATGTTTCGTTTCTTCCTAACAATATTCATCCTGATGCGGTTAGCTAGCAATGGAAACTATTTCTCTTATGTGCCCCCATTCTCTATTCTAGCCGATTGGTCATGAACCACGATTAGTGGAATATCTCAATAAAAAACATTGTATGTACTACTAGTAGCATTGATCTTATTGCCCTACATTTCGCCAGCAACCTTTAATATAATTTTTTTGCGATTAAAAAATTATAAAAAGCTATGAAAATTCAAAAAAAATTCCTATGCATGTACATGTACATGTAGCTATGTAGGTATTACATGTATACAGTGTACATACCTTAAGGTTACTTTTAAAGAGGGTACTATTAATTGCAAATTTTGCATTTGGGTTAAAAATCGCAATTATTAATACGTACAATTATTAATAATGACATCTGATGCCATATAACTATTAGTAATAATTACTTAATCGCAATTTTTAATACCAGCAAATCTACCTTGTGCTAAAATCGCAAAAATTTAGTACCCGCAATTAAAAGTCACTCTAAGGTACACAGTACATGACTACATGTACTTATAATTTAGTATTTTTGCTCAGATGCTAGAATTTATTGGCATTGGCGACAGTTCTGAATTAACTTCAGCATTACTTAACTCCCTGAGAACCACATCACCTATTTTTATTAGTCACTCTATTTTTGTAGGTCGTGACTTTACGCCACTCGACTACAAAGAGCTCGGAAAGAGACATGATCTATTTGATATCCCGTAAGGAAAATAACTTTAAATTAAAATAAATTTAATATTAAAAGCTGAATTCAATATTCATAGTTCTGCTGCCCAGTGCTCCGGAGAAGGTTTCTATTATCTCAAAGGGGAAGCTGCTGTACTAGAGCTAGCACTGATACAATATGCCATGAGTAAAGCCATCAAGAATGTGAGCTTCTCAGAGATACCGTATTGCGGGAAATTTTGGAGAGAATTAAATTTAGCGAATTTGGCGTTTTGAAGGCCATTCGCCAAAATATAAATCCACCATTTTGAGCCATTATGTGCATGTTCAATGGCACGTAGCCACAAATTTGCCAAATTAAAATTTACCAGCCACCAAAGTTTAGCAATTTGTCAAATTTAACTCTCCAAAATTTTCCACAATTATGTTATTCAATCCTACTACACTGCATAGGGGTATTATCCTATATCTACACCAGATGTCATTAGAACACATGTGGCTGTGAGTTTGCCAATGAAATTACGAAAGAATTGTGATAGCTTTACTTGCTTATAGGATAGGTGTGGCTATCAAGCTCGTAGTGGTGAAAACCAGTATTATTTGCTTGCTAATGAGGACAAGTGTTTGAGTGGGACTGCTGAAATCCCACTAGCAGGTTAGAGCTAATCCAAACCCTGTTAATAATAATAGACATCTTTTATTTGGTTTAGGAATGTATCTTAACAAAAATGTATTATACAGTGATCTACCAATAAAGTAAGTCATAGTATTACCGTATAGCTAGAA